CTGAAGGTGACTTAGCTTCACAAGTATCCCATGACCTATATAACCAGCAGAAAACAGCAAGGCAATTTTACTGTAGCTCAAATGGCATAATTCCCATTAGTACCCTGATGCTACTAATCAAGTACAACACAGGTGAGAACATCATAATTCCTTGCTGTGGAAAATATGCTCTGACAAAGATGGATAAGGGTTAAAGAGATCTAATTAAAAGTCTAATATATATACTGGAAGATCAGTATTGGAAATCTAACACTTTATTAAATTCACTAAAGAAAAACAATGACAAAATGCAGCATAAAAACAAATAGATGTTCCCTTACAAAAACTAAAATTAAGACTATTTCCCTAGTTCATAATTATGCAGATCTAACTTTAAAAATTAATATTGAAGAGGTGGATTTATGAACAGCTCTCATTATGAAAATGATTTATATAGTGTTTTGGGCAAAAACCTCAAGTTGTAACAGCACAGGGTTAGGACTATGACCTCTTACATTTAATTTTCCTCTAGGAATATCAATAAGATCTCTAATAATAGTTCTCATTTTGGAGTTTAGAACTCGGATTATTACAGGGCAAATCAGTCTCAACTATTCTAGGCTTAAGAGGTAAAACTGAGACCATTAAGGAATCCCAGTCATTTTACATAATGTCAAATAAACACCTAAAGGCTATAATGCCCTGAGTCTATACCTCTATTTGTCTCTTAAACTCCATCTTCTTTGAAAAGAATTTAGACATAATTCATTCTGGGGCTTTGACCTGTGGTTTTCTTTAATTAAATTAAATCATGTGATGATTTTTTCTCTTCCCTAACCTTCATCTTGTGTTCATACTGAGATTTCATTTATAAGCACGAGGTAATAATGGGTTCTGCCAACACATGAAGCTATCCCTTAGCAAAGAGAAACAATTGCGTTTAATAATGATGTTAAACAATTATTGCTAAGCTATGTGTTGTAACTACAGCATGACTTTGAAATGACTACGGTATGATTAGAATATGATACAACTGTGGTGCTTAGGAAATGAACTGGAAAGTGGCTGTGCTGCTGTGTTTATTGTAAATGTATCAGATTGATGGTCCATTTATTTAAAAACAGTGCAGTGCATAAAATAGGTGACAATTGGAACAATGTACTAGTTTTAATTGTAGATTTTGTGAAGGGCAAAATGATGGTTTACTATGGTAAGATAAAGGAATCATCCTTTAATTCACTGACATTATTCTGTGAGGTGAGGTAATATTTTTCTTTTGACTTTTGGATACTTAAGAGGTCACCCCCATTCTTAAATTTTATATATTCTAATCTAACATAATATTACCATAATAAAAGTTGCTTTGCTATTTAAAAACAATATCAATCTATTATCTGCAAGGAAACTGTTTTATATTTCACATATAAGGGATTAATGGATTTTACAGTGGACTTTTAGACACTATAATTGAACGGTGACTATTTACCTGAGGAAAAGTTTGAATTAAAAAGAACTTACAATTTCATGTTGGAAAATTGTGATGTCAAATGAATTGGTTAAGTAATGTCATTTATTCAGTATATGGCTTGGTAGGCTTGATTCGCGATTTTTTTTTTTTTTTTACTTTTAATTTAAATATCTAAAAATAAATGTTCTTATTTAAAACGAAAACCGATGTACTAAAAAATAAGAGGAATTCTCCAATACGACTTCATAATGCGTAAGTATGTCAATAGCCTTTAATGCCTATGCAGCCCATTACAGAATGGGGAATACACAGGTTTAAAATAAATGCCCTTTATTCTTCCTGTAAGTTAGACCAAGTTATTCAATCATGCACTAAGACCTTCTCAGACTACCTTTATAGGTCATTCAGAAAGTAAATTTTGTTCCAAGTGAACTGTTTCTATGTTAATGCTTCAAAGTTTACTCAGGTATCAGGCGTTTTAAGTGCAAGTCATTAAACCTCTGTGGTTTACTGACTTTAAAAGATCAATTAAGTATATTTACTAGATAGTGCTTTGGGGTCAATATTTGAGAAATAAAGCTATTTTTTTTTTTTCGGGAGTAATTCCATCCAGTTCCTGTCTAAAAAAGAGAAACTTGTGAGGATTTAGCACAGAGCTGGAGTCAGAGAAATGAAATGCATGAGAAAAGAATCACAGGAAAGAAAGTTGGAATCACCGCCTGGGGAAAGGAAGTGTTCCACAGAGTGGTTAACAGCTGCCTGGGACTCCTTCCAGACCCTCGGAAGCAAAGTTTGCAGTGAGGGGCTGGACGCGGGTTTTACAGCAGCCGCGAGGCCGGGCGAGCTCAGGTTCTCAGGTTTCCAAGCGCGGCTGAAGCAGAAGTGCAGGGATCGTCACGATCCACCGCCGCGGCCGGTCCCGCTCCGCTGGAGGAGACTTAGCACGCGTAGCCCACTGGCCCGGGCTGACCTAGGCGATCCCAGACGCTGCCACTTTCTCTTTCCCAGACAGTTTCGGAGACCCTGCATGTAGGAAGTGGTCCGATTAATTTTCTGGACGGTCTCCGCGGAGATTCCAAATTCCGCTGCCCCCACCTTTCGCTGTGCTCCCTCTCTGCCTTTCTTTCCAGTGTCCCCGCCAGCAAAAGCCTCTATTTGCAGCACCAGGCAGGTTGTCCGTTTAACGCGCTCCGGGGATCTGCTGGCTCGTCCTCCCAACCCCGGGGTGGCAAGACGTCTGGCACCTCGGATCCCGGGTAGACTCCCCCATCTGTGCATTTTGGCCACTCCACTTAGCAAGAAGATGTGCGAAGTGTGTGCCTGGAAACGAGCCGCCTCGGTGACCCTCATTCGTCCACAGCGGTGGCCCAAGCTCCCCGGATCCGCGCCCGCGCGTCCTGCGGGGCTCCCGCGCTGCCCTGCCTGCCAGACAGCCCAGGTTCGGAGGTTCGCTCTCCTCCAGCGCTTGCGAGCGCTGCTTCCGCGCGGGCCTGGGGAGCGCCAGCGCGTCCCCACCCCGCCGGACCCTGCTGGGCATGCTCAGTGCACCTCCTGGAACCCGGATCTCCTGGGGTCAGGATTAGATTTCCGGGTTTTCGCGGCTGCCGAGGGGGCGCGGAGGAGGGGAGGCTGGGAGACAGTCAGCGCCTTGTTCCGCGCCCCCTCCCTCGCGCCCGGCTGCGGCCGCCCGCACCGCAAGATGCAGGCCAATCAGGGGCCAGGGGTGGGGCCTGGGCAGTCACGCCCTCCCTCTGGGCTTATTGAGAGTTATATCAAGAAATTCAGTTCAGAGAGAGGAGAGGAGAGGGAGAAGGAGAGAGGGGCAGAGGAGAAGGGAGAGAGGGAGAGCATGCGAGACGGAAAGGGGCGCCTTAGAGTCTCTGAAGCACTCAAGAGATAACCGATTAGGAATTTTTAGGGCAACTGTCACCCGGATAGCTGCCAGAGAATCGCCATCACCGCAACTCTGACGTCTCCTACAAGAAGTTAGAGACTTAAGCAGTATTGGCATCGGATGGAAATGGTATGCTTGATGCTGTGGAAAATATCCCTGAGCTGAAGAAGTGCAACTGGATGTAGCGTGTGTGCCACACAAATACCCAGAAGAACCCAGACCCAGTGGGTAGGAGAGACGAAATGTGGAGAGAATGACTAACGACAAATCCGTGAATTTGTTCTCTGGAGTTGCTAATTTGCCAGCCCGAAGCAACACATTTTACAAGGAGGAAACGTTTTGCTGCTTCTGATTTCTCCCCAAACTGGTGCTACCAGATGCATGGCTTTCTATGTGTTGGAACAAATCATTCCTAACTGCCGCATACTGGGAAAGGGGAAAGGTTGAGGCAACTAACGTAAGTGTAAAGTTTCGCATGCACAATTGTAAATTCTGTGTTTAGATGTGCCCTCCGTGTAGACGGGAGATGTTTGTAATTGGGTAGACGGTTGGGGCAGAGCTCACCTACTCGGCTGTATCTGCATCCCTACCTGCATCACTCTGCCGGAACTAATCTCAGGCATCAGCTACTGTGCAGCCTAATGCAGATAAGATTAGAGCCTGAGAACTGACCAGTCCTACTCAAGTAGGTAGCTGCCTGGAGCCTTGCACCCATTTAAATTGCAGTTATGGGAGCAGAAGCCTTTTTACCTGCATGATTGGGTTGCAGTATTTACGTGTGGCAAATGTTACTAATATTCTAACCAGAGATGAGGATTAAGAAACTGCATTTTTTTTTTCTCTTTGATGTTCAGTAGGAAATATTGTGATGTTACATGGGAATGTTAGCCGCATTTCACTTACATCTCGGCACTCTCTTCCACCTCTAGGATAAGGAATCCTATATTATGATACATTTTTAAAAGTTTTAATGTGTTTATGAATCCTAATGGGGGCAATTTGTCAATATGGAGAAAGGAGAGCAAGCTGTGGGCAAGAAATCAGAAGTCTTGGTGTTGTGCTTTTGGGTGATGAGGATGTGTAGTGGCTGGTGACTACTGCTTCTGATGCTGCAGCGGCATGTCCGGATGCTCGTTTCCCAGTAAGATTGTATTAGAAGGCAGTTGAAGAACTGGGAGGAAAGAAATAGCCTTTTTAGAAAAAAATAGGTGACTCGGTGTGGCAGAGAAGAAAACACATTTGACAAGAGATGAGGCAATTAGCAGGAACCATAAGCTAAATACTTAGGGTTTTTCACTTCCACCTAAAAAGACTGAGGGAGGTGGGTTAGAGGCTAGGAGGAGGGTGAGACAGGGGGAGGGGAAGAGGAGAACAAGAATGCATGTTTTGAATTAAACAGTATTCTGAAAAACAACGTGTGTGAATATAGGTAAAAATAGCAGCTGTCCTTAATTCAAAAGTAGAAAATTTTATTTTCTCCCGGCAAATGCAACAAGCAGGAGATATTTAGTGTTTTTCTCCACAGAGTAAACTTGCAAACAGTGGCAGAGCAAACTGCCATGTTTACTAATGTGCAGGGGAAAATGTGTGGTGATATTTTGTGACGGTGTGTTTTTATTTACTGAAGAATAATATTGTCTATACGATTGTATTGACAGTGGCTGTCTCCAAATAAGTGATGAGATATAATGCATCCTCCAGTCCTTGCACGCTTCCTCTTGCAATTTGTGCATCATTCCTCAGTGGAAACCTTTAAACCCTAAAATCCAGGAAAAGAAAGTAAATACATTATCATGGACCTGAGGGATTTTTACCTGTTGGCTGCTCTGATTGCCTGTTTAAGGCTGGATTCCGCAATAGCTCAAGAACTTATTTACACTATTAGAGAGGAATTGCCTGAAAATGTGCCCATAGGAAACATACCAAAGGATCTGAACATTTCTCACATCAATGCTGCCACAGGGACCAGCACCAGCCTTGTCTACAGACTGGTTTCTAAAGCTGGGGATGCCCCTTTGGTGAAAGTATCCAGCAGCACTGGGGAAATTTTCACAACCTCCAACAGGATAGACAGAGAAAAACTCTGTGCTGGCGCCTCATATGCTGAGGAGAATGAGTGTTTCTTTGAACTTGAGGTGGTGATCCTCCCCAATGACTTCTTCAGGCTGATCAAAATAAAAATAATTGTCAAGGATACCAATGATAATGCCCCCATGTTTCCATCTCCTGTCATCAATATTTCCATTCCAGAAAACACTTTGATCAACAGCCGCTTTCCAATTCCATCAGCAACAGATCCTGACACAGGCTTCAATGGTGTACAGCATTATGAATTGTTAAATGGTCAGAGTGTTTTTGGACTGGATATCGTGGAAACTCCGGAGGGAGAGAAGTGGCCACAATTGATTGTTCAGCAAAACTTGGATAGAGAACAGAAAGATACCTATGTGATGAAAATCAAAGTAGAGGATGGAGGCACTCCACAGAAATCCAGTACGGCCATACTGCAGGTCACAGTAAGTGATGTAAATGACAACAGGCCGGTGTTTAAAGAGGGTCAAGTAGAGGTGCATATTCCAGAGAATGCTCCTGTAGGTACCTCTGTAATTCAGCTCCATGCCACAGATGCAGACATAGGCAGCAATGCTGAAATCCGGTACATTTTTGGTGCCCAGGTCGCCCCTGCAACCAAAAGACTCTTTGCTTTAAATAATACTACTGGGCTGATTACAGTTCAGAGGTCCTTAGACAGAGAGGAGACAGCCATTCACAAAGTGACAGTGCTGGCTAGTGATGGCAGCTCCACTCCTGCTCGAGCAACGGTTACCATCAATGTCACCGATGTAAATGATAACCCTCCTAACATAGACCTCAGGTACATTATAAGTCCCATCAATGGCACCGTGTATTTATCTGAGAAAGATCCTGTCAATACAAAGATTGCCCTAATTACAGTTTCAGATAAGGACACAGATGTGAATGGCAAAGTGATCTGTTTTATTGAAAGAGAGGTCCCATTTCATTTGAAGGCAGTTTATGACAACCAATATTTGTTAGAGACCTCTTCTTTGTTGGACTATGAGGGCACCAAAGAATTCAGCTTTAAAATTGTTGCCTCTGATTCTGGGAAGCCCAGTTTAAATCAGACTGCCCTGGTAAGGGTTAAGCTTGAGGATGAAAATGACAACCCACCAATTTTCAACCAGCCTGTAATTGAGCTGTCAGTTTCTGAAAACAACCGACGTGGGTTATACTTAACAACTATTAGTGCCACAGATGAAGACAGTGGGAAAAATGCAGACATTGTTTATCAGCTTGGACCGAATGCCTCCTTCTTTGATCTGGACCGAAAAACAGGAGTTTTGACAGCCTCCAGAGTCTTTGACAGAGAAGAACAAGAACGATTCATTTTTACAGTAACTGCCAGGGACAATGGAACCCCTCCCCTCCAAAGCCAAGCGGCTGTGATAGTTACTGTTCTGGATGAGAATGACAATAGCCCCAAGTTTACTCATAATCATTTTCAATTTTTTGTGTCTGAGAATCTGCCAAAGTATAGTACTGTGGGGGTAATCACAGTGACAGATGCAGATGCTGGAGAGAATAAAGCTGTGACTCTTTCCATTCTAAATGACAACGATAATTTTGTGTTGGATCCCTATTCCGGAGTCATAAAGTCAAATGTCTCCTTTGATAGAGAGCAGCAGAGTTCCTACACTTTTGATGTCAAAGCCACTGATGGAGGACAGCCACCTCGTTCCTCTACTGCAAAAGTAACTATCAACGTCATGGATGTCAATGACAACAGCCCAGTTGTCATTTCTCCACCATCTAATACTTCCTTTAAGTTGGTGCCCCTCTCAGCCATTCCTGGCTCCGTGGTAGCAGAAGTTTTTGCAGTGGATGTTGACACTGGAATGAACGCTGAACTAAAGTATACTATAGTGAGTGGAAACAACAAAGGCTTATTTCGGATTGATCCAGTAACAGGTAACATTACTCTGGAAGAAAAACCAGCACCTACTGATGTGGGATTGCATCGCTTGGTGGTCAACATAAGTGACCTGGGGTACCCTAAATCTTTGCACACACTTGTGCTTGTATTTCTTTATGTTAATGACACTGCTGGAAATGCCTCCTATATCTATGACTTGATCCGCAGGACTATGGAGACCCCGCTGGACAGGAACATAGGGGATAGTAGCCAACCCTATCAAAATGAGGACTATCTAACCATCATGATTGCCATCATCGCCGGCGCCATGGTGGTCATCGTTGTGATCTTCGTCACTGTTCTGGTGCGCTGTCGCCATGCATCAAGGTTCAAAGCAGCTCAGAGGAGCAAGCAAGGTGCCGAATGGATGTCCCCAAACCAGGAGAACAAACAAAACAAGAAAAAGAAAAGAAAGAAAAGGAAGTCTCCCAAGAGCTCTCTTTTGAACTTTGTTACTATCGAAGAGTCCAAACCTGATGATGCAGTTCATGAACCAATCAATGGGACAATAAGCCTGCCGGCTGAACTGGAGGAACAAAGTATAGGAAGATTTGACTGGGGCCCGGCACCTCCAACCACGTTCAAGCCTAACAGTCCTGACCTGGCCAAGCACTACAAATCTGCTTCTCCACAGCCTGCTTTTCATCTCAAACCAGACACTCCAGTTTCTGTGAAAAAGCATCATGTGATTCAGGAACTCCCTTTGGACAACACCTTTGTCGGGGGTTGTGATACCCTTTCTAAACGCTCTTCCACTAGTTCAGATCACTTCAGTGCCTCAGAGTGCAGTTCCCAAGGAGGCTTCAAGACAAAGGGCCCCTTACACACCAGACAGGTAAACGAGCACTTTTACTGGTCTATAAGTACTGCATACAAGTGCCCAGTCAACCAGTATTAACGTGCCAGTGTGTCTATTGTTTTGGTCTAACTTTAGCTTAGTTATAAAGAGGTTAAAAAAAAACTTGACCCCTTTTCTATTCCTCTGGGGCTCAGTCAAGAATTTTTAGAGCAGCTTTGAAATTTCTGAGTTCTGAGAATATTTTAACCTCCCAGTTTCCTTCAAATGGCAAAAGATGAAAAGAGAAAATTATTCCAAAATGTCCCAAGATAATGTTTGCTAAAAGAAGGAAACCTGTCCTGATATGCCAAATTCTGCTCCTGGGGTTTCCAAATTGAGTGCTTCAAGATTTTCACCTTACCTTTTGATCTAAAAAGTCACCTTCAAATCTCAAGTTTTAAATGACTTTTGAAGGTGTGACTGCAATTATGTTGGAGTTGTGATTGCTAAAGGGGTTAATTTTTTTTTAGTCTCTGAACAGGGTAGTAGAATATTAAATGTACATCAGCTGTGAAGCACATGCTTGTTGATAGATTGCAACTAAGCCATATAGGAAGTCTTCTCTTTGATTTAAATTATTTTATTGTAATATATTAAATTCGGTACTTAATAGAAAGATTTTTAGTGTCCACGGTGGCTAAATACTCTTTTGAAAAACGAAAAAAAAAAGGAATGCTTGCTGCCTAATATAACTGATTTATAAAGAAAAGAATGAATCCATTGTAAATATTCTCTCATCTTAGTAATGCATAAGTGATCTGTCATAACTCATTTTAAACTGTGAAACATGCCATATGAAGAGGGATTAAGAGGCTGAGAAACTCATATTTCAACCAAATCCAGAATTAGTTTTTCGTAGGTCTAATAATTCCTTGTTAATAAAGATTTAAATGCAGCGCTGTCTAATTTATTTCACTGGTGCTTGTCTGTTGCCACAAAATTTGAATATCGATAATAGCCTGTAGATGGCACTAGGGTATCATGTCGCTTGTGCTGGCCAGGTGCCAATCCCGCAGTAGCAAGGAGAAGGGGGAGGGAAGGATCAAGCTGGTAGTACAGCCAAAGATACCTTTTATTTAATGATAGTTGCTCTGGAGCAACTAGCATTTAAGTTTATTTGCTTGCTCTTTTGTGATTAGCTCTCAGCACACCAACTTTCTAGGATTTCGTAATGCTAGTTCTGTCTTTGTCAGTATGGAGTTCACCTATGGTGATGGCCCATCTGTGCTTGTTTATAAATAAGGAACACATAGATTTTTAAAAATCAAGTAAGGCAAAATTAATTTGCAGAACAGTATTGACAGTTATCATTGATTAGTCTTTGGAGAATCAAGAGTTTTCCTTTTCTGAGTGGGGGGTGAAGTAGGGTGTTTTATTGAAACAGTTTCCCCCTTACCTACTATCATTTTTTCCTCTGGAATGACTAAAGGCTTTGTGGTAATAAAATATTTCTAAAAGTAATTTTGGACAATGAGTCACACAGATAATCCCAGAACATCAAGTATAATATGTACCACCATACAACTAAAATCTCCATTTTTCAAAGTAAAATATTAAACGCTAGAGCACTTTAAAAATGCAAATATTTAGAGCTTAAATACACAAGAAGAAATGACTTAAATTAGTATAGAATTTTAAAGGAGACTATGAGGTTATTACATATAAGTCAAAGTTAGCAAGACTAATTTTTGTGTTAACTTTGTTAGCGTTTGAAAAGAAGTTGATGTTCTAAAATTTAGAAAATATTCAGATTTAGTAAAGGTTTTTAAAAGTTAAATGGTTAACCAGGATAAGAAAAATTTATGAAATGAGTTTAACTAAAAAGTTGTTCTTTTAAGGAACAGAACGATTTTTAAAATGATTGACTTCTATTGTGAAGGTCACTCACAATACACTTATGTTATTTTATGATATGCATAATTATGCTGAGAAGCTAATATGATTTAAAACTTTTCAGGTAAAATCTGACATTTGTTTTCCAAAGAAATGTACTGATATAATTCCAGCATCATCTTTTTTTTTGTCTATATGTGGCGGTAGTAGCATTGATGTGTAGAACCACATTTTCTGACCTCCCCAAAAGTTGAACTTATATATAATGCACTGACATAAATGTTAAGTGCATTCCAGCAAAGTATGCAAAGGTTCTTTTGTTGAAGGTTAGTCGGTCATAAAAGTCTTTGTATGATGTAATCTTTCAAATAGGATACTAATTCTCTAACTGGAACTAAAGTGCATTTTAGAAATTCCTTGTGACAGTGTGTCACTTTGCAGTTCTCCTATAGGTATTCCAATATTCAAATAGAGCTAGGTAATTCACTATTTTGATAAAGAGCTATTAAAATGGCTTTGCTTACACCTTTTAAATGTTTTCATGCTAAAAAAGAAATATTGTGATGTTGGGGAAAAGAAATGGAAGCTGGTAGAGAAGTGGTGGTGATATACAGAGCAATATGGACATTTTTTTGGAGAAAAAGAAGCATATTGCCTGTGACTGAACAACATAAAATATATAGTAGCCTTTAAAAATTTGTTTTAACTGCACTGTATGATTGTTATCTGCAGATGTTCTAATTAAGCTGAAAAGTAAAAACTTTTTCAACTAGTGGCTTTTATATAAATTGTGCTCCTGAAGCTACACAATTTTGAAAGAGTAACATTTCTTACTACAAAAACTTTCAAAGGAATTTATTTTAAAAAAATCATCTGTGAAGAGTTTAGTTGCATGAGCACTATTGCTCACATCGTCTTTTCGTTTTATGCTGTTCATTGATATGTGGGTACAATGCAAGATTCTTGAGTAAAAGGTTACCAAACTTAAATTTTACTCATTTATACTGTGTGTATAATGAAAACATAATGTCTGACTCTTAGATCTTGAACTTCAAGATAGGTACATCAATTCCTATATTGTCTGATATTTTTCCCCTTACTATTTTCCCTTGTGTCAACCTGCAAAGAACGTTAAGAAACAACTACACATCATACTCCTCATTCACTCTGTTTTATAAAGCTTTCATGTGTCACTGAATTTTTCACAGATTATTTCTTACAAATTTTTGGAAGGGTCATTAGCCTTTACAGGTTAAGAATTTTCCTTTTTTTTTTCTTGGCAAAATATTATGTCTTGGTATTTATTTATAAAACAACAACAACAAAGTTGATAGCCAAAAGGTTAAGAGGATGAAAAAGACATTAGCAATTCCAATAAGGCTTTAAATGATAAAATTCATTGGTTTATTTGTCTAAAAGAAAAACAATATTGTTGACAGATACTGTTTTAAAATATGATATTGATTCTCACTGTGGAATGTCTGGGAATCATCTGGAGTACTTCTTAAAACAGGATTGTTGGGTTCTACTCCAGAGATTCTGATTTAGTACCTCTGAGATCAGGTCTGAAAATATACATTGCTAACAAGTTCCTAGGTGATATTGATGCTGCTTGTCCAGGGCCCACACTTTGAGAACCACTGCCTTAGCATATTGAAACAGGAAGTGCCAGCCTCTTTCCCTCTCATATAATCATTACCAGAGGACCTGTTTTTGCGCAGCCCAACTCTCAGCCCACTTATTGACAGCTGTTTTATTGTAGCTGGAGGCTTTACAGTAAGCTGTTTATTGCTGTTTCCCAACCCAGTTGACAGCATTTGGGGAATTAATTTTCTTGGTCCCTGTGTGGTTTTTTGCAGGGTGGGAAGAGGGACGATAAATGAAAATGTTAAAGTAAAAGAAGTAGTCACCCATTTACATTTGACAACTTCTTCAAGTAGTAAAACAGCCTGTAAGAGTTGCACTAGACTTTGGTTCTGGGTAAACATCCGTTTAATTTTCTGTATGAAATACTTATTTTAGAGCTTTAAGCATCCTAACTTTTCACAATCTCGAGTGTTTGTTCATATATATTTGACTATATGTTGAGGAATGTGTACACTGAACATGTGTATGCATGCTGTACTTAAGTGTATACATGTATTTTTACAGTATAAAGGGAATTTCTTCTATTCCAAACCATTTAGAGAGACCATATTACATTTATGATTACTTTTCATTTTTGAATAATCCACTGCAACCACTACCGAAATGTTATTATGTCGTGTAAAATGCAGAAGGCAGTCATAGAACTGATATTTAGAACAGCCAGGAAAAAAATGTAATTGAAAGTGAAGGGAGCAAATGATAACTAGTGTGAGGCTAACAAAAAACTTTAAGATATTTTCAACTATTGAGTTTTAGAATAGATCTATATAGTGACAGTTGAACACAGGTGACAATTGATCCCGTAAATAGAAATCATTTTTAAAATGTTATCAGCTGTGATTTTTATTTCTATGGGCTTTTTGGCTAAGTACGTTATGGTCATGAAGTCAGTTTTCATACTTAAGAGGTAGAAGATACCCAGAACCCTTGTATATAGACAAAGGTTTTTGAAATGAGGGTAGGCCATCCATTCAAACTGGCAATCTTTCTAGTCGGGTTTGTGAGACAAATATTTGATTATTTTTTTCCATCTTGATATTTCTAAACTATCAAATTTAAGATGCATTTTGACATTCCATTGTTAATAACCTTGAAGAGAATTAAAATGAAAAGTTCCTATTGTATTAAATATAGACATGTCTGCTGATTTCTGAATATTTGTTACCATAGAGAAAATAATATGTGTGGTGAAAATATTCCATTCTCTTATTATTAATTTTTTGTTGCCATTAATTCTAAATTTAGAAACAAGGCACATTAATGTTCTCCTTAGTTTCAGGTCAGTTATCCTCATAGTGAGACAAGACAGGCTTTGGTGTCATTAAAATTACTTTGAAAATATTATACTTGTAATAACATGTTACATTCTTATGGTATAAACATATTCTTGTTTTTTAAATAATTGCAAGCTATCATTTATCTTCTCATGATTGCGTATATTAAATTGAAATATGTGAAATAGTAAAATGGAGACACTTTAGATGTAAGGAAAGGCCTCAAATGTAAAATCAAATTTT